CTTGGGCGTTAAGAAATGAGCTTTGTCTTAACAGTGATAAATCCTATGTGTTACCCATTTCTAAATGTCGCATTGCCTTTTCTGTCATACCTTATCTATATATTAATAATAAGTGTCTTAAATTTATGTCTAAAGTGACGAACCTTGGTTTTGAAATCAACTCTAGTCTTTCTTGTGATGATCACGTGAACTTCATAATAAGCAAAGTACTCATCACTCTACGTAATTTAAGAATGTCTGCATCGTTTACGCCGGTCGACATCAGGAAAAAAACTTGGAATACAACTGATTTTGCCAATAATCTGTTATCCTCAATGTATTTACAGCAAGCTTAGTTCTCAATCTGCCCATAAAATTGAAGTAGTTTTCAATCTCGTAACACGATATGTATTTGGTTTGGCTAAATTTGATCACATTTCTAGTTGAAGATCTCGCCTATTAGGCTGTGAGATATCTGAGTATTTGAAGGCAAGGAATTGTATTTTTCTATTCCGTTTAATGTTGGATAAGCTCCCTAGTTATCTGTATAATAATCTAACTTTTCCAAAATCTGTCCGTATAAGCGACTTAATTAATCTTAACTCTGCTAGACTATTTTTGGTCAACCGTTTATGGAATTCTATTCCAGGTGCAATAAGCTTCGTCAATAAATTTTTGTGCCCTGAGTTTCGCTATCATCTAGGATTATCATATGTGTATCAGTGATTGGCATTGGTTGAACGTCAACTGTTGCATACTAAATCAATACTGCTGCAAAAACTTGCAAGAAACTAGCAAAAGAGGGGAAATTGAGAGAGCAAGAATGACAGCTGAACTTGCAAGTTTTACTGGATTTTTACTAGATAAATTTTTACTAGCAACTATTTGCTAGTAAGAAAAACAGTTGATGGCATGATGCTTTTTTGTAAATCACATTAAGAAAATAATTGTTTGTGGTGCTTTTAGAGTTGCAATTGACAAAATAAACCCATTTAAATATATAATAATATGGAAAACACTAGTTTTCTATGAAAATTGCATCGGAAAATATCAAATTAATCAGCTGTTCATAAAACTAGCAACTTCTTGCTGGTTTTACGTTTTCGTACTTTCTTTCATATTTCACTCATTGGGAGTATATATTGGCTTAGTCTCCGAAATTTGGTTACTGGCAAGTTACTGGATATTTTTTGCTGGAGAATACGAAAACACAACTTATGTATTTATAGCGCGTCTACCATTCAATTGCTTTACACGCTGCTGGCGCCAAGAACATGTTGGCAGGCTAGTTGTGAGGTATGTGCATACGTACGTATGTATGTATGTATGTACATATCAAGGCTTCATTTCAAACAAGCACATGTCGTTGAATTGTTTTTGAAATACAGTATCATGACTTCGGCAAACCATTAAACATGCCTTCAGCAACAAATGAAATGACTTTCAGCAACAAGTCAAATGACTTCTGCAACAAACGAACTGCGGCGTCTTGCCTTCGCCAACCGTCCCAATGAGCTCTCATGCTTTCGGCAACCGTCCAAATGCAGTACCGTGCTTTCGGCAGTCGATCAAATATGGCGGTTGCTGGTTTCGTGCACGATCATTCGGAGTACAGGTTTGCCGAAGTCAATATCAGTATGAGCTGTTATAAGTATCGTTCACTTGTGGTGGCTGTATTTGCAAGACAGCACGCTTTGCGCTGGTGTTCGTTCATCCCCCGTTTTTAACGTGAGTAGGCTTAAAGTCACAAAAACAGCACCCTTTGCCAATCTCTGATGTGTATGTATCAGAGTTGTGAAAAATGCATTAAATTTTTTAATGCATAGCATTTTAATGTAAATGAAAAAGATTAATGCATTAATTTTTGATATTTATTGTAAATGAAAATTTCAATGCATTAATGCTAATGATTTTTTTTTGTTGTATTAACATTAAAATGTTTAAATGAATGCTATTGCAATAATTTATTGCATTAAAATTATAACAAGCATTAAAAACCCAATAACTAATTTTATTTTGAAGTAAAAATTCTTTGCTGACGTTGAGGGTAGAATTTTAAGGTCAAAAAAGATAGTGACGGACGTTAAGGCTGGTTTTCACTATGTCAAATCACATTGTCAAATGTAGCAAAAAAACGGTTTATTGATTGATTTAGATCAAAGTAGGTGCTCAGTCGTGTACATGCGCTGCTAAACTGGCTATCTGTCCGTTTTTGGCTCATACTTAATATATGTAATCGGTATGCATCAACAATCAACATAAAAATCTACAAAAGCACTCTGGCATGCACATTGGCTTTCATTTTCATAAAACATC